AGCAGTCCTGCCGCAGGATGCAAGGCAGGATTGGCCCCTCCCCATGAGTTTGAGTTTCTACCGGTGGCTGGGAGGAGCTTGAAGCCCGATGTCCCCAAGATGGCATCACAGAGTCACCACCATCCAGCTCAGTTGGTGCTGCTGGCTCCCCCTTCACCTGGCTCATCATAGGATCTCTGCAAACAAGGAGAGTTTGGTGGCACCAGGGGTGTGGGCAGCAGACCCCCCGACCCTACAGCACAACTCCCAGCCTTTGTATCAGGAACCTTGGTCATCTTTGTCTCCTTTGGTCTTGGGTTCCTGCCACCACTCTGCGAAGAAGCCCTCCTCGTAGTCACCTTCGCCCTCGAATTCGCCATCGGAGGGCAGGTCCAGCACCTCTGGCCCCTCACCACCATCCACCTCCATCTGCAGCACAGGAGGGCAGGAGGAGGCAGAGGAGCTCGGCAGCCTCATCTGCAGTCTCTGCTCCAGGACTGCTTTGGGGGGGTCAGACCCCCCCCATCTGCGAAAGGTCCCTGCAGCACCCACACACACCACCCAGCCCCCCCAAAAGCACCATCTGCATCCCGTGTCAGGTACCTCATCGTCATCATCCTGCAGGTACTGCCGGGCGAATTCCAGCATCTCCTTCTGGGCGGCCGTCTGGCTGTGGTAGCGCACGGCTTCCTGGGCACAGGGGCAGAGGGGCTGGGTCAGCTCCTCTCTGGGCAGTGCGGGGCCACAGGACGGGGCTGGGGGGTCCTCACCGGCCGTGGCTCGAAGTCCTCCTCGCGCAGGCGCCAGCGCTCGCGGTGGAAGCGGTAGTAGACCAGGTTCTGCTGCATCACGGTGTCGCCAGGGTCGAAGAGCATGTAGCTGGAGACGCTGCGCACCGCGTCCTGCACGTCGTTCACTGCGGGGACAGCGCCAGCTGACACGGGGGTGACACCCCTCCCAGGGCCACAGCACCCCAGGGTGCCCCAGGGCACAGCCCCCCGCTCCCACTGGCACTCACGCTTGTAGTAAGCGAACTGCAGGTAGTGGTACATGGTGGCCACAAACTTCTCCACGAAGTAGCCACCCACGTTGGGGGTGAGCTCGGTCTCGCAGTCCACCTTGCATTGCAGCACGCTCACAAAGTGGTCTGGGGGGAGATGTCGGGTGTTGCACCCCTGATCACCTCCCCAATTCTGCCGTCCCCCAGCCCTCCACTACCTGCGATGGCAGGGTAGAAGTCCTTGAACTCCTGGAGCTCATAGGCGCCCTCGCAGCCGGCCAGACAATCTTCGTACGCCTTGTAGTACTCGGCCAGAGCCTGCTCCATGTCGGCTGCACTGCTCCGGAAATCCCCGCTGTTGTACAGCTTCACTGAGCGCACGAAGATCGGCTGCAAGGATCGAGGATCGCTGCTTAGTGAGGGAGAGCTGCTTCCCTCAGGGCTTGGCAGCACCCGGCGTGCTCCGAGCCCTGCGGAGCCCCTCTCCTGCCCCAGCCCCATCCCCTCCTTACCTCATAGGGCTGAGCTTCCAGGTCGACCAGGTATTCATCCACATCCAGCATCGTCCGGTAGTAGTTCAGGTACCTCAAGGTCATCTCATGCTTGGGGTTCTTCTGCAGGAAGGTGTGGGCAGCAGATACCGCTTTCTCGATCTTATTTGACTGTGGAGGGAGGAGGAGCCAGTGCAGAGATCTGCTGCAGGGCAGTCTGAGCCAACACTGCAGCCAAGGGAGCCTCAGCACCCAGTCAGACCCCTGGGCTGCAGGACAGAGGGGAGATCCTTGTGGGGAACAGCCCTGAAGGCACGCCGCACAATCATCCACTAGCAGTGATGAACAGACAGGACCTGGGAATATGGACATTGCTGGTAGCTCCAGCCACACCAGCCTCCTGGCTGGGCCCATGCTGGGCACAGGGACAGCTCAGCCTCTCATGGGCCCTCACATCCAGCCAGGAGTGATCCACGTGGTGTGAGGTGGATCCACGTGGTGTGGGCTTGATCCACACATCCGCTCTTCTCCAGCACTGCCATCAGACCTGGCTGCTGCCCCTGCTGCTTTATGGGCTCTTCGGTTGCAGCTTCAGGGGAGTGAGCAGGGAGGGAGGATGGTTTGAACAACCTGTCCATGAAATGGGTTTGGGCCAGAGCAGCAAGAGGAAAAGGCATTAAGGATGAAGCCAGGCAGTCCCTCGGCACTGCCAGGTGAGTGGAGCTGCAGTGCTGAGTGCTAAAACAGCACCCTCAGGGGCAGGCGGCCAGGGACCAGTACCCTGACCAGAGGACTGTCCCCTGCCAGAGACACCCTGGCCAACACATGGGTACCCGAGGGGGATGCCTTATGAAAAATCCTTCCACAAAATGTCCCTCCACGTCTGCACTGTGAAACTGAGCAAGTCCTTCTTTCTTATGGAGCATCCAGACACGTGTCCCATCACAATCACAGAGGCCCTGGACCCTCCAGCTCAGGCCCCTCAAGCTGGGGCAGCCCCCGTGTGCTCTCCCCAGGCAACGCTCTGCCTGTCCAGGGAAACCTTGGAGCACCAGGGCAACACAAGGTGAGGGAGAGGGATGCAACCACAGGGGCCCCCCAGTTGTCCTGCCTGATGTGTCCCAGATGATGCTGACGTGCCGTGGCTCAGGGGCAGTATGGAGGAGCTGGCGGGGATACCAGATGGGGAGTGAAGTTAAGGGGAGGCACCTGACAGCAGGGTGCAGGATGGAGCGGGGCAGGGTTCAGGGGGCGCAGAGATAGACGGGAGTGGCGTTCAGGGTGGGCAGACCGGAGGGTGCAGGTGTGTGACGAGGGCACAGGATGGGGATGCAGAATGGGGGTGTGAAAGAGGACGTGTAGGATGAGCAGCACGGGATGAGACACACGGGAAGGGGTGTGCACAATCAGGGGGCAGAACGGAGGGGTGCAGGATGGAGGGAAAAGATCAGTGGGGCAGGATAAAAGAGCAAGACCCCCCCCCCCACCACCACCACCATCACCACCCCTGCCCTTGCCATGTGCAGCGGCTCACCTTGAAGAGCGCGTAGTGCAGGTACTGGTAGGGCTGGCGGCGCTGGAAGTCGCGCAGGGTCTGCGCCGGCGGGTAGCGCAGCTGGAACACGGGCAGCTCCCGCTTGCAGGCGCGCAGGCAGCCGGCGCGGAGCAGCAGCCGCCCGAAGAGCCGCAGCTCCCGCTGCCACTCCCACGCGGGGTCCCGCTCCCCGCGGGGCTCCTCGGCGCGATCCTCCCCCGCGGGGGGCTCCCCGGCGCAGCGGCGGTGGCAATGCGCCTCGCTGTCCCGCAGCAGCCTGTGCAGCCGCAGGCTGGCCTCCAGCCCCCGAGCGCTCTCCGCCCATTGCGCGTCCGCGTACCGCTCCAGCGCCCGCTCGTAGGCGCTCTGCAGCGGCTCCAGCGCGGCCGCGGGGAACCCGCGCACGCTGTACTGCTCGTACTGCGCCGCGCACAGCCCCGCCGCCAGCGCCGCCAGCAGCACCGCCGGCAGCGGCCGCGCTCCCGGCACCGGCGCCGCGCCGCCCATGCCCGCGGCCGCGCACTGCCCGCGCACCGCCCCGCGCAGCGTCCGCGCCGGGCCCCGCGCAGGGGCGGGGGCGCGGTGGGCGGTGCGGGGCGGGCCCGCAGGGTCTTAGCGCGGCTCCGCCGGCCCCGCGGGGCCGCATCGCCACGGACTGCGCGCCGCGGGGCGAGATGCTTCAGCAGCACCGTGCGCGGGCGGGCTCTCCGCGCCGGCGGTGCCCGGGCTGTCCCCGCCGCTGGCCGGTGCCAAGCCCGAGGCCACACGCGCTGTGCCGTGCCAGGCCTCGGCACGGCCGCACTGGCCCCGGCCCAAACCTAAAGCTTTGAGCTGGCTGGACGGTGGCACTGAGGGATGTCACAGCGCGGGGCAGGAGCCAGGACGCCGCTGAGGTTTCTCCCTGCGGAGCAGAGGCTGCTGGCCGTGCCCAGCGCCACACACGGCCGTGGTGCCACCACCCCTGTCAGCACTCACTTGGCACAGTGAGGCCGTGCCCCCGCGCCCTCGGGAGAGCCACGAGTCCCGCCGGCTGCTCCGAGCAGTGCTGAAGGTGCTCGGGCCCGGTGTGGCGTGTGCTGGGGGCTGCAGAGCCCCCCGGGGCTGGGCTGGGGCGCTGCTTTGCTGCAGCGGTTGCTCTGTTGTTCTCACTGGTAGCACCGAGCCTCAGAGGAGCTGGGTTGGGATTTGGGTTTGGGTCCACAGCCCGTTGTTATTCCCACCTGGCACTCGCCAAAGGCTCCTGCCACGGGACTTGTTTCTTGCGGATGGATTTGGGGGAGTAGGGATGTGTGGGCAACGCCTCTGTGAGCATTTGAGGCTGTGTTCGTCTGGGAAGGACTTTGGGAGAATTTCACATTTTTGATCATCGCTATTCAGTAAAGGCTCTGCCAGCAGCCGACTTGATATTAAAACACTTAATTCCTTTTATTTACTCTCCCGAGCTGCTGAGACTGAGCAGCAGCATCTTGGGCCGGGTGGCAGCAGCAGAAGGAAGAAGAGAAGGAGGAGGAGGAGGCACAGCAGCGGGCAGGGCAGGGCCGGGCTGGGCCTGCAGCCGCACAGACACTTCCCAATACCTCCGTCAGTTTTTCTTCGGAGAAAAGAAAAAAAAAAAAAAGAAAAAAAAAAAAGGAAGAAAAACGAGAGTAAATAATGAGAGGGGGAAGGAAAAAAAAAAGAGGAGATTAAAAAAATATGAAAGGGGGGAAAGAGGGAAGAAGAGAAATAAATAAAGGAGGGGGGAAAAACGAAGAGGAAAAACAAAAGAGGGAAGAAGAATAACCCCTCCCGCCGTGGATCGCTCTGTGCCGCGGTGTCAGTTCCCGGCGCGGGGGGAGCGCGGCGGGGCCCGGACACGTCTACAGAAATTCCAGGAGGGCCGGGCTGGGCGGGCGGAGGGGAAGGCTCGGGAAAGCCAAGGCAAGGGGCGTCCCGGGCAGGAAAGGGGCGTCCTGAACCCCCCGCCCTCCTCCTTCCCCAGCCGGGCCCTTCCGCCGCCTCAGCCCCAGCGCCATGGCCATGGCCCCGGGCAGCCGCCGCTGCCTCCTCCTCCTCCTCCTCCTCCTCCTCCTGAGCGTCCTGGGGGCCCCGGCGCTGGGCGACCCCGGCCCCTTAGAAGACGTGGTGATAGACAGATATTATATTCCCAAAATCTGCCTGCGGGAGGCGCAGATGGGGGATTTCATTCGCTACCACTACAATGGGACCTTTAAAGATGGCAAAAAGTTTGACTCCAGGTATCGCCCGCGGCTCTGTGCCGGCTGCATGCGGGGGGCAGTGCGGCGGGACCCTGCATGCCTCCCCCAGCCCCCAGCCCGCATGCCGGGCGGCTGCGGGGACCCCGCATCCCTCCCCCAGCCCCGGGGCAGGGGCAGCCGGGCCGGAGCAGGCGGCTGCCCGCGCCGCACATCGCCCGGTGCCCCGGCTTTGAACGGAGCAGGGCTTTCGGCGGCTGCTGCGGTACACGTGTCAGCCTGAAGCGAGCCCCCAGCCCAGGCTGCAGCCCCCCAGCCTGGGCTGCCCCGCCAGGTCCCGCAGGAGCTCCCAGCCCTGCAGGGAGCCTGCACCTCTGCCGCTCCGCAGAGCTGTGAGATAGCCCGCCCAGGGCAGGATTTGGCCCTAATTGGCACGCTCTGCACGCAGGAACACGTATCTGCATGTGCTGCATAGGCAGGAAAATGCTTAAAGCACTTTGAGACGTGGCAGCGGCAAAACCCCTCATTATACCAGAGGCTTTGCTCTTCTGGCCTCAGAGTTCCTTGGCCCCTCCATTGTCCCTGCTCTGCTCATGCTGGCTGGGAATGAGGGTTGGGGCAGCTCCTGCTTTGCAGCACCATGTGCAGGAAGGAGCATTGGGGACACAGAAATAACTGGAGCCATGTAGCAATCAAAATTTCCCAGGCAGGTGTTTTTTTTTGGAGCTCTGGAAAGCAAAGGGATTCACATTGTGATATGTCATATCTTTCTTGTGAGCATCAGTGGGAGAGAAATTAACTGCAGTGGGAGCCTGGGGACACCCACTGCTAAAAGAATTCTCTGTCAGGAGGACATCTGCTGCCCCAGTAGTTTCTTGGAGTATTTTAAGGTTTAAAAATAAAAACAAATTTGCAGTTTAAAAATGAGGCCAGGACATCGTCTTTCCTCATCACTGTGTAAAGCTCCAGTGTGCCATATACAAAATGATTTGGAAGCAGCAGGAAGCCCCAGAGCTGCTGGCCCCCAGTCCAGCTGAGTGGGTGAGATCTGGGGAGGGTGTGGATGGCTTCTGGGGGTGCCCCAAGGGCCAGCCCCCCTCCAGCAGCATGGGATTGAGCCCACCAGGATCCAGGTTTTTGAGCTATGGGCTCTGCCTACAACACAGGGACTCAGGCTGTGATGCGAGACCCGCACGCTGCCCCTCTGCCCTGCCCCACCAGCACTGGCAGCTTTGGGAGCTTCATCCTTTTTCTCAGCTCTGATGGGTCTGTCCCTTTGCCCCAGCTACGACCGAGGGGCCACGGTGGCCGGCGTGGTGGGCGTTGGGCGGCTGATCACGGGCATGGACCGGGGGCTGCAGGGCATGTGCGTCAACGAGCGGCGCCACCTCATTGTGCCACCCCACCTGGGCTACGGCAGCATCGGCGTGGGTAAGGGGCCCTGGCACGGGAGGGCTGAGGGAGCAAAGCCCCCAGGGCTGGCGTTAGCAGGGACAGGGCTCCAGAGCCCTCCTGGCACATGTGGTCTAAGGGTGGCTCCGTGGCCACGGCGAGTGGTGCTGAAGTGGGGCTTCCCTGGGAATGAGGGGTCCTGCCCCCAGCTGGACTGTGCTGAGCCAAGGGCCTGCATAAGGCTGGGCAGTTCCAGTGCAAAGAGCACAGGGGCTGCCATGGGTCTCCAGCAGCTCTGAGCGGTGGTGGGTTCAGTGGAGGCTTCAGGGGGAAGAGCCCATGGCTGGCCTGGCTCAGTGTTGGTCCTGCTTAAGGTGCTCTGTCCTTGCTGCTGCCCCTCTAGCGGGGCTGATCCCCCCAGACGCCACCCTGTACTTCGATGTTGTCATGTTGGACATCTGGAACAAGAACGACAAGCTGCAGATCACCACCCTGTCCAAACCCGAGCGCTGCAACCGCACGGTGGAGAACTCGGATTTTGTGCGGTACCACTACAACGGCACACTGCTGGATGGGACCCCCTTTGACTCCAGGTATGGGTCACTGGGATGCACCCTGGCCTCAGGGCACGGGGCTGTGGGGCTGGGATGCACCCTCTGCCTCAACACTGGGCCTCTAGGGGTGGCTGGGACCCAGGGACACCAGCCTGGGCACACAGAGCAGCCTCACCCTGTCTTCCCTCCCTGCTCCCCAGCAGGGCTGGTGCAGCTCCATGACCCCCCAAACCAGCCTCTGGCTAAGTGCTGCTCTGGCTGGGGCTGCTGGTGTGGCCCCAGGGCCATCTCCACTCTCATTCTCCACCACCAGCTACAGCAAGGGCAGCACCTATGACACCTACGTGGGCACTGGGTGGCTGATCAAGGGCATGGACCAGGGTCTGCTGGGAATGTGCGCTGGGGAGAAGAGGAGCATCATCATCCCCCCGTTCCTGGCCTATGGGGAGAAGGGCTACGGTGAGCCAGGCACCACCCCATCCTGCCAGCCCCTTCCCTGCCAGCTCTGACCAGAGGCCCCTGGTGTAGGACCCTCCTTCAGGCTGACCCGTGTCCTCTCCCAGGGACGGTGATCCCACCGCAGGCATCGCTGGTGTTCAGCGTGCTGCTGGTGGATTTCCACAATCCCAAGGATGGTGTGTTTCTGGAGCACCTGGAGGTGCCGGAGTCCTGCAAGCGCCGGGCTGTGACCGGGGACTTTGTCCGCTACCACTACAACGGGACCCTCATGGATGGGACACTCTTTGACTCCAGGTGTGCAAGGAGGTGGCCGTGTAGGGAGAGCCCCTGATGTCCTCTCCTGCCCCACAGCTGCAAGGAAAGGCTGGAGAGGGGACAATGGGCATGCAATAGGCTAAAAAGAACAATATTTGTTTGTTGCATCTCTCAGAACAAAGTTTGGTTCCTGTGGAAGTAGGAGAGGCTGGGAGAAGGGGTGTGGGTTGGGCTGTAGGGGCTGAGGGGATTGATGGTGCTGGGGGTTCTCTTGCTGCAGTTACTCCCGCAATCAGACCTACAACACCTACATTGGGAAGGGCTACATCATCCCTGGCATGGATCAGGGGCTGCAGGGCGTCTGCGTGGGAGAGCACCGGCGAGTGGTCATCCCCCCACACCTGGCTTATGGGGAGAACGGTGCAGGTAAATGTGCAGAGGGCTCTGAGGGACATCCAGGGGTGTGGGAAGAAGCAGTGAAAGTCTTCACCGGCCTTGCAGCACTCCAGCAGCTCTCCTCATCTTCCTCTTCCAGGAGATAAAATTCCTGGCTCAGCCGTGCTTATCTTTGATGTCCACGTCATCGACTTCCACAACCCTGAGGACCCGGTGGAGATCCAGACCGTGTTCCGGCCCGAGGGCTGCAATGTCACCACCCGCAACCGGGACTTTGTGCGCTACCACTACAACTGCTCCCTGCTGGATGGCACCCGCCTCTTCTCCTCGTGCGTGCCCCGAGCGTGCCCGGCCTTCCTGGGGCCAAACCCTGGCTGGCACTGAGCTGGGGGTGGGCAGCACCAGGACAGCAACAAGCAGTGCTGGAGCATCAGCGCCAGGACGGGGCAGCGGGGAGGAGGGTTCAAGGGACACAGTGGGATGGACATGGCTGTGGAACTTCATGGCACACCAGGATGGAGGATGTGGGATTCTGGGCCATGGTGGGTTGGGATTTCAGGGCTGCCCACTAGATCTGAGGGACTTTTCTCACCTGCACTGTTTCCTCTGTGCCTCCTGCAGCCATGACTACGAGAAGCCCCAGGAGGTAACTCTGGGGGCCAACAAGGTGATCGAGGGGCTGAACAGTGGCCTCCTGGACATGTGTGCAGGGGAGAGGCGGGTGCTCATCGTCCCCCCACACCTGGGCCACGGGGAGAGCGGAGGTAGGGGAGCGGCAGCCAACGCGTGCAAAGCAAAGTGGTGGTTCAACCTTGCTGGGCCCTGCTGGGCTCCATCACCCCTCGCCCTGCCAGGGCTGTGGGGCTCAGGGCAGGGCTTTGCCTTGCTCCCCATGGTGCTGGAGCCTTTGCTGTGTTTCCAGCCCGGGGGGTACCTGGCAGCGCTGTGCTCCGCTTCGAGGTGGAGCTGATCTCCATGGAGGAGGGGGTTCCTGAGGGTTACCTCTTCATCTGGCATGGGGACCCACCTTCCAACCTGTACGAGCAGATGGACCTCAACAAGGACGGGGGCATCCCCGCTGAGGAGGTGAGTGGGTGCCAAATGGTTGGGTGCAGGAGGAAATGGGGACCTCACACTGGGCAGCAGCACTGGAAGGGCACTGCTGGCTCTGGGAGCCTGCAGAGCTGTGCAGGAAGAACACCACAGCTAAAGCATTGCTGCTGGCTGTGGGCAGTGTCCCCGAGGGCAGCCACTGTGCCCTGCCTGTCCTTGGCACAGGCTGTGGTCTCCCTGCCCTTGGCTGCGTGGAGCCAAGCAGCAGCTCTCCCCTCTCCCCTCTCCAGTTCTCCACCTTCATCAAGACCCAGGTGGCGGAGGGGAAAGGCCGCCTCATGCCCAGTTCCGACCCGGAGAAAGTCATTGCTGACATGTTCCGGAACCAGGACCGCAACCAGGACGGGAAGATCACACCCGACGAGCTGAAGCTGAAGTCGGATGAGGACCAGGAGAAGATTCATGAGGAGCTCTGAGGAGCAGTCCCCAGAGTTCTGGAGACAGAACTCATCCTTGCCATGTCAGGGCTGGTCTCCCACCCCGGGAATCTGCCCCTGCCCCTCCCCAGTCCTGCAGGGGGACGGGTTTTGATTTTCACTTCTTATTAACTGAGGGTATTTTGATGTGTTCTGTGCAGGAAAACTCAGGCCCCAGTTAATAAACCCAGACAAGATGTCCCCTCCCCAAGCCCCTTCATCCTCCACCAGTGACTGCAGGTCCAGCTCCAGCCCCCTCACCTGTCTGTGCTGCAGGCAGGATGTAGGGGGGATCCCCCTCACCTCCACCTCATTTTGTAGTTTAGGGTTGGGGATTGGGTTTTTTATATACACACACTTAAAATTCTTTAGAGAGAAGAAAGAGAAGGCTTTTGTCCTGGTCCCTCCTCTGCTCCTGCTGCCATCCTCCCCGGGACAGGAGGCTGAAGAGGGCTCAGGTTCCCAGGGTGAACTCTGCAGACATCTGCCATTCCAAAATCTGGGCCCCCTGGAACTGTGGGACCTGGCAAACCCCTCATCAGCTGGGAGAAGGGAAACAGACCCTCATCCCCCAGCCCTCAGGGAGCAGCACTGTCCCCCTTCACACCCTCCCCACCTCCCAGCCCCCAGTGATTGAGACAAATCAGACCCATTTAATTTCACAGCCTTGGAGTGCTCAGGTTCTCCTGCTGGGACCAGCACAGCTCCCAAAACCTCTGCAGTCTGTCCTGGACAGGGACAGAAGGAATGCAGAAGCACAACAGTGCAGAGTGAACCCCTCAAACGGGGACTCTGCCTTGCACCAAATAAAGAATTCCTCCAGGTTTCCAAGGAGTTTGACTGTGTTTGGTTACTTTGCCATGAAACTTTCCCATGGGTTGGGGTAGCAGCACAGGGACCAGCTTCACCAGTGCCCAGGGGGATTCCAGGCTCCAACATCCACTGGGCCTGGCAGAAGAACCCAAAATTCCCACCTGTGATCCTAAAGCCAAGAGGGCTTTATGTCCAGCACCCAGTGAGGGTTTGGGGGGCTCTGGTGGGGAGTTGGGGAGCAGAGGCAGCTCCAGCCCCTCAGTGCTGGGTACCAACCATCCGTGACCCAGCTTTAGGCAGTTGTGTTTTTATTCCAAAACAGAACAAGTCTGCTCTTCCCAAAGTTCGAAATAACCAGAGGTTACACAGTAATAAAATGGTATTTTCCTATTGCTGCTCTGAGAGCCTGGGATCAGCCCAGAAATTAGTACACAAACATGGTCAGGTAAACACGTTTAAAACTCAAAATTCTGCCATTGGCCTCTCCTCCCCCATTCCCACCCCTCCTCCTCTGATGCCTGGCAGACAAACTTCTGGCTTTGGGCAGCAGCAGCAGCTGAGCTCCAGGGCTTTCAGGGACGGCTGGAAAAAGGTTTTTTTTCACAGTATGAACTGTACTGGTTCAAGAGGGATGGGTGAGCTGAGACACGAGGCCAGAGAGCTGCTGGTTTTCCTGGGGAATGGGGCTGGGTGGAGTGACGGCCAGCAGGGCCACACCAGCCCAGTGGCTACACTAGCACCAGAGTCAGCCCTGGAGCTTTGAAGCCCACAGAAAACAGGAGAAACTTGTTTTCTCAGCCAGGAACACAGTGACACATCTAAACTGGCTCTGTCCTCAGCCCACTGTAAACTACCTCCATTCCATCCTCGGCTGCTGAAGCAAGTACAGAACATCTCTGAAACACTGAATGGTTTGTTGTGGCCTCAGGAGGTGGCAGTGGGATGAAGTCTGAGCAGGATAGAGTGAGTCTGGGTGGGAAACTGCAGAGCCAGGCAGAGTTGGGGTAAAGGGGAAGGAGAAGCTTCCTCCACCTCACCTCTCCTGCTCCAGGGCTGGCCCAGGGCATTCGTGAGGTTGGGATGGAGCCCAGCCAGTACCAGCAGCCCCCTCCAGCTCTGTCCTGGGAAGGACATTCCCTGCCCAGTGCCCAGTGTGTGGCTGGGGCTGGGACACCCTGTCCCCAGCTCACGTCTGGGTCAGGATGTACCGCAGAATCCCGTTCACCACGTCCAGCGTCTCGTCGCTCTCCAGCACAATGTCATAGGAGTCCAGGTACTTCCTCCTCCTCTCTTCCACCTGCCAGGACCACGAACAACCAACAGCTGAGCATCAGGATGACCAAAAAGGGGGTCAGTAACTACCCTGACCATTTCCCAGACACAGCAGGAGCTCAGCAGACACCCCCAGGTCCCTCTGCGCACCCCCCAGGAGCTCGTACAAATCTCTTATGTGCCCAAACCACTGGGACAGCCCACTGCCCGTCCCTGTTGGCCCTGGGCTTGGTAGCTGGGGAAGGCTGGGAGGGAAGCACTAAACTGCTCCTCTCACCCACCTTGTCATTGAGAAAGCCAATCTTGAGGATGTTCTCCACACTGGGAACACCGTCTGCCATTGTCAGGTCACCCATGGAGTCCCCCAGCAGGATGATGCTTGTCCTTGTGCTCAGCTGCTGGAAGTACCCTGTGCCCTGCAGCACGGTGTTGTTCTTGTTGTAGGTGTGGATGAGGGGTCCCTTGAAGTGCGTGAGGACTCCCTGAGCAGAGAGGCAGACAGCTCTTAACCCGATGGTGTCACTGTTAATCCTGCCCCAGCCCCACACCACTCCCCTCACACACCACACAGATGCAAGGCAAGAACTCACATCATCACTGAAGCCCATGTAGTTGGACACCACATTGACATTGGAGTAGAAGACATTGGCCTGACGGATAATCTCTTCCAGGATATCACCAACGCCAGCGGAGAAGATGAACAGGGGGACGTTGTTCTTATGCAGCTGATCAAAGAACTCCTTGAAGCCATCCCTGGAGCAGGAGTGTCCATTGCACAGGGCTGTGCTACAAGCCCCCAGCGTGGTGTCTGGTGCCCTGTGCTGGCAGCAGGCTCAGCCCAGCTCCTGCTCCTGCCCACCACTTCCCAAACAGAGGCACAGAGGTAATCTCTGCAAACAGCACGAGCTCTCTGGGGCACCAGCACACCCGTGGCCTTCCCTGTGCAGAACCCCGGAGCTCTGCGTGCTGCAGCTGGGTGGGTGCTTGTGGGAGCATGGAGCACTCCAGCCTTTTGCCTGGCATCTCCTGAGCACATCAGCTGCTGAGCAGGGGCACAGGGCACAGCCTGCCCACACACACCCATGCCAGTGGGAGATGTGCAACAGGTCGGATGATCAGAACCACCCGTGGCTGCCCCAGTCTGCCAGGACACAATTCCATGCAGAAGGGGAACCTGGGCTCATGAAAAGCCATTTCCTCCCTGAGCCTGGCAGCAGCCTGGCAGAGCCCAACTCCCTGAGCCAGCCTTAGGGCCACAGCTGCCAGATCAGCTCTAGCAGCAAGTTCTAGCACAACATTTTTGTGCTGTGGGTGAAATCTTCTGCTGAGACAAGGGCCTGCATAAGGCTTGGCAGTTCCAGTGCAAAGAACACGGCTCTGCTGGAAGCAGGGAGCTGCACACTGACCCTGCAAATGGGGAGCTGTGCCCAGCACCAGCCCCTCAGCTGCTCCTTGCCATGGCCCAAGAGAGGGGGAGTGGTTTCAGAGCAGGATGGGAGCAGCCTGCAACCAAGGAGAGAGCTCAGGCTGTGCCTCGTATTCTGACTTTGGTAGAACTCAGCCCCAGGGAGCGAGCAAGGGAGGCTGGCACTGGTCACATGGGGAGACCAGTGAGCAAAGCACTGGCTACATGGGCAGGAGAGAAGGGCAGTGGGCAGGCAAGCTGTACCTCAGCATCACATCCCTGTGCCCAAACCTCAGCATCACATCCCCCAGCCTGTACCTCAGCATCACATCCCTGTGCCCAAACCTCAGCATCACATCCCTGTGCCCATACCTGAGCATCGCTTCTGACTCTCTGACGATCTGGGCTATGTCACTTTTGTGAATCTTCTGCTGTACCAGCAACTCATGGGCCTTGGTCCACCTGTATTTGATGTGGGAAAGGCAGCAGTGGCAGAGCTGCCAGGCAGAGGCCCTCAGCAGTCCAAAATAACAACTAAACCTTGTGGGATCTCTGCCAAGCCCAGGGATGATTCAAACCTCATGTTCTGTAGTCCTCAGGGACAAGAGGTTGTCAGGACAAGGTCAAGATCACCACAAACAGCACTCACCACTCCACCATGAGGGGACGTTTCTCTTCCAGGGTCCGGTTGGGATCTATTTCAATGGGATAGTAATAGTGGAGTAGATCCTTCAGCTGGAGTGCCACACAGAGGGAAAAAGAACAAAGTGAACCTCAGGTCTGAAGAGACTAAACAAAACTAGCATTTCTGAAGTTCTCCAAAGCATTGCTCTTCCCAAACACAATCAAAACCTCTGAGCATACTCAATCAATTCTCTCTGAGCATATCTGGAACTTTCAGCAGCCTGGCTGGTCCTCACCTCACTCCAAATGCTGCAGGTACTGACAGCCTTCCCCTTCCTCCTCTTATCAAACTGAAACACCCACAGCTGCACATGCAAATTCGAGTTCCCTTTTTAACTTCTCTTCTATCACTGTTGGCTGAAATGCAGCCTGGACACTTTCTCACTCCATCCTGGCAGCCACCACAGCTGGGAGAGCTGTCTCAGCAGCCAGTGTGACCTTCTGATGATGGGTGACAGGTACAACAGCCACCAAGCCTCACATGCAGCACCCACCTTCTTCTTGCCATCCTCACTGATAACACGGCTGGTATCAAGGATGTCTGCAAAGAAAATAAAATTGTGTAGCACAGAATCATAAATAGACTTTCTGCAGCAACTCCCCTGTGTCTCAGAGCTGGCTCTTCCTCATACAAGCTGTGGTGACACTGTGACCTGAGCACAGGCTCGCTGTGGGGTCCCAACGCAGTGACTCCCACTCTGAGCCCCCTGGCTTGGCCAGGCAGCAGCCGTGGTGCCCGTGGGCAGTGGGATGAAGGCAGCCAGCCCAGGAGCTGGCTCCTGGCTCCTGCAGCAGGCAGTGGGCAGCTGGCACCAGGCAGTGAGGC